GGCTCCCACAAAACTTTTTTTTTTTCTGGCCGCTGTTTATGGAAATGAATCCTTCAGTGTATTTTCTTTCTTTCGTTCTTTCTTTTTCTCTCTTTCTTTTCTTTCTTTTTCTTTCTATTAATCCTCACTGGAGGATATTTTTTTCCCCATTGGTTTTCAGAGTGAGTGGGAGCGAGGAAGAGGGAGGAGGAAGAGAAACACCAATGTGAGAGAGAAATGTCCATGGGTTGCCTCCCACAGGCACCCCTGACGGGGGCGAGGGATGGAACTGCAACCCAGGTACACGCCCTTGACCGAGAATGGAACTCAGGACCCTTCACGGGTGGCCAAGGCTCTAACCACTGAGCAACCAACCAGAGCTGTTTTGGTGTCTCTGCTTTTGCTCAGTGATGACACCGCCATCTGCTCTCTGTCTGCTCTGCCGTTGGTGATACCAGAAGGAGGTGGCTGTCAGAGTAATTGGGCTTCATGCTGCTTTGTTCCTGTTTAGCGGGAGAGCGAGAATTCCAAGTATGTGACTGAAATCACCTGCTTTCCCCTGGGTGGAATGTTGAGATGGGCTTACACCAAACCAAGGATCCGCATCATTGAGTACCCTTGCATCAGGGTGGAGTTGGCTTGGCCTGGACGCCCAGGGCGGTGGTCGGCAAACTCATTAGTCAGCAGAGCCAAATATCAGCAGTACGATTGAAATTTCTTTTGAGAGCCAAATTTTTTAAACGTAAACTATATAGGTAGGTACATTGTTATGAACTTAATTAGGGTACTCCTAAGGCTTAGGACAGTGATGGCCAACCTTTTGAGCTCAGCGTGTCAGCATTTTGAAAAACCCTAACATAACTCTGGTGCCGTGTCACATATAGAAATTTGTTGATATTTGCAACCATAGTAAATCAAAGATTTATATTTTTGATATTTATTTTATATATTTAAATGCCATTTAACAAAGAAAAATCAACCAAAAAAATGAGTTCGGGTGTCACCGCTGACTCGCGTGTCATAGGTTTGCCATCACTGCTGTAGTCTATAAGAAAAAGCTGACAAAACAAAAAGCACTGTACTGTTTTTGGCTTTCAGGAGAAAAAATGTCAAGAATTGCTTTATTAAAAAGGTAATTGAGGAAATAACACCATAATCACCAGGTAAAGCATTTTTTATTTTAAATATATTAGCCTTTAACAAAAAGTGTTGTATTAAGTCATTGTTTATTTTCACATTAATCATTGTTAAAATCACTTATGTAATTCATCTAAATAATGTTTTGCCAGCGTTAAAAACGAAATCATAAAGGCCCATGTGTGTATCCAGAAACATAACTTAAAATTTATTTGTACTAGGAGAATACTTATTCATCTAAGAAGATATCAAAGAACTGAAAATATATTTGCTGTGAAAATTTTTAGTAGTTTTACAGCTAAGTAGTAATCTAGTAATTTATAGCTAAGATGTTCTTTTCCATTCTTTTTTGTTTGTTTTAAATGTTTCTTATTGATTTTAGAGAGAGAGGAAGGAAGATGGAGAACAACAGAGAAACATCCATGAGAAAGAAACCTCAATCATCTGCCTCCTATGGAGATGGAGCACGAAACCTGGGCATGTGCCCTCTCCAGGAATCTAACCTGTGCCCTCTTGGTGCATGGGATGACACTCAACCAACTGAACCACACTGGCCCTGTTCACTTCCATTCTTGTTTGTTGTTTTTAATCCTCACCTGAGGATATTTTCCATTGATTTTTAGAGAGAGTGGGAGTGAGGGGAGAGACAGAGAGAAACATCAGTGTGAGAGAGACACATGGATTGGTTGCCTTCGGTAGGGCCAGGGATCAAGCCTGCACCCGAGGTATGTGCCCTTGACTGAATTGAACCCTCAGTCCTTGGGCTAACACTCTAACCACTGAGCAAGACCACCTAGGGTTCAAATAAGATAATATTTTTGATACTATATGCTGTGAAAAGCCACGGCCAGCGTGACTTTCGGGTTCAAAGGCTTGGAGGAAGAGCTGACGCACAAATTAAAACACAAGACAAAAAATAATAATTTTGAAATTATGGGGGGAAGCCAGGGAAAACTCAACTGCAGTAGTCAAGTTCCACTGAGTCTCCCTTCCCAGCTGCTTTTATTTACTAGAATATACAATTGCCTTTTAGGAATGCAAACAGACATATCAATGGTAATGTTTAGTAAACAGTAAGATTATCAGGTTTTGGGGGAGTTTGCTTTAGGCCATTGAGTCAGCAGTAGGTAATAAAATGCAAATATTCACCCTGTGAGTATCAAGAGCCCAAATTCAGCCTTCTGGCAGACTTCTCGCATTTATATTAATTACTGTTGATCTAGGTTTCTAGCAATATGCTTTTCTTGTATGTTAGATAATCATTTATTTATTTATTTATTACTAGAGGCTGGGTAAACGAATTTGTGCACCAGTGGGATCCCTCCACCTGGCCCTTGGTTATTGAGCTGAAACTGGCTCTCTGACATCCCCTGAGGGGTCCTGGATTGCTAGAGGGCCCAGGCCAGGCCAAGGGACCCCACGGGTGCATGATAGGGGCTGGAGTTCTGATTGGCTGGACTCCAGCAGCAAGCTAACCTACCAGTTGGAGCGTCTGCCCCCTGGTGGTGAGTGCACAGTCATAGTGAGTGGTTGAGTGGCCTTAGCATTTCATTAGCATATGTTGTTTTGATTGGTTGAACGGATGACTTGATAACTGGATCTTAGCATATTAGGCTTTATTATATAGGATTAAACAAATTCAACAAGTAATAGTAAATAATTAAACAAATAATTACTGAGCATCAATTATGTATAAGTCACTATTAATCAGTATTCTCACTTTTCCTTTCAGAACTAAAGCCTTCTGTGTTGGGAGAGACTGAAAGGTATGCCTTGTCCATCTGTTATGTTTTCTTTTCCTCCTAAACAACTGAAAAGGCATGTAGTTGACAAAAATCATGAAAATTCATTGGTAAGTTCATTTTAACAGTAAGGAAGGAAAAACTAAGTACTTTCTAAAAAGAAAAAAAACGACATTTACACACTAATTGCAACCGCGGTTCCCAGGATAAATTAACATCAGAGATGCCACACAAATAAAGGATTACAGTGTTGGTGGGATTATCCCAAGTGTTTGTGGAAAAAAATCTGGAGTTGCTTCCAAGCATCCACCTGGGCCATGGCATGAGCCCTGGGCTCTCCCCCCCAGATGACATTTGTGCCCAACAGGGAGTGCAGGGAGGCCCGGCACAGGGGGAAGTAAGGAGGCTCAATGTAGTGCCCCACTTCTGGGTAACAGATTATCTGCGGCTTCTCCTTACCATGGGCCTGTAAGCGTTTAGAGGCCTCGTTAGCAAAGAATTCACTCTTCCAGTTGTGGTCATCCTGACCTACAAGGAACAGGAAGGTGCTCTCAGACCTTTCCACGGGAATGAAACTCTTCTGGTCGGGTCCTTCCAAAGGGTTGTTCAGGACATCCAAAATGTCTGCAAAGCCGTCTTTGGTGACCTTGATCCGATTTTGGTCGAAACCTAGAGGCTGCAAGGTCTCCTCCTTGTAGTGTAAGGCTCCTCCGACATTGGCCACGGAGCCATTGATGATGACTGCAGCAGTGATGCCCTTCAGAAACGAGGCCATGGAGAGGCAGAGGTCACCTCCTTTAGAAATCCCAAGCAGCCCAACTCCGGGGCCCTTTACCTGAGACAAGGACAGAGGAATAATAATGAGCCCATGAGTCAGTCTGGTGAGTAGTGCCTGGAAATGGAAGTCAGTTAGAACTGAGCCTAATTTGGGGCTCTGTCATTTACCAAGGTTTGCAAACTAGGATATTTACTTATTCTTTCTTTCTATCTTCCTTTCCACCATTTCTCCATCACCATTGTTGGTGACTTTAGCCTCTCAGTTCCTTGACCTCCATACTTCCAATGACTTTTTTCCTACCCCACTTTAGCCACCCATTCCCACTGTCATAACCTTAATCAAGTCATCATCAGTAAATACCTCATCTCCAAAATCTCAGCTGCAAGCATTCTACTCGCTAATCACCATCTTAAATACTTCTGTTCAGCCATTTTAGTACCTACCACCTGCTTCCATTTCTTTGCGACCTTGACTACCTTTTTTTTTTTCTATCAGTATCTCTCTTGTGTTCATTTCCTACCTCATCCAGTTTAGATTTCAAACTTCATTGTTATTTTCCCTCCCTTGCAAGCACTCTTAGCTAATACCCTTCTTCCTTTGGTCATACTTGCTTGGAAAAGTGATAACCTTGGTTAAATCCACCTTCACTTCCTCTAGGTCTGCATTTGTACAAATAATCATTGAAGGGAAAAAATACACATTTGTGCTGGCAAATCTTTACTTTCATGACCACAGATTTCAAATATGCATTCATACTGCCCATCACCTCTGCCACACTTCACTGTGTTTGCTTTTCACTTCTCCAATGACAGTTTCATACCTTCTCCTATTTGCTCAAGCCTCTTGAACCCCTCTTGATTCCCCTTCAGTTTCAGCTCTTCATACATCATGGAGAAAATAGAAGCTGTCCAGTAGGAACTCTTCCTCATTTTCCCCCTGCCAAATCTTCTTAGTTCTGAATCAATTGAAGCTCTCTGCCTTCCTTCCTGGTTCCAGAAGTATCTCTGTTTTATCAAACGCCATCCCTCTGCTTGGTTTGGGATCCCATCCACTCTCATTCTCATAGTCTTTGCTCCTACAACTACTTCTCTCTTTCTCCTCCTTCATAATGTTCTCTCCTGGCTCATTCCCATCAGCGTACTTCATGCTGTAGTAACTCTTACATTTTAATATCAATTCCTTGACCCTCAAAGCTACTCTGCTATAGTTTTGTCTTTCACAGCAAAATTGTGGAGAAAGTTGTTTGTAGTTGTTTCCTTTCTTGCCTTCTAATCTCTACTTAGTCTCCTCCAGGGTAATTTGGATATGCAGATTCTACAAGGACTGATCTTGTCATAGTTACCAAATCCTGTATTTTGAATGGCCATTTGACCTCTGAACAGCAGTTCTTTTTTCTTCTCATGGCTTCTAAAACAGCAGTTTTGATTGGTTTCAAATATTTATTCCTTATGAAAGTGCTAGGAATTAAATGATATTATTATCCCAATTTTTCAGAGGAAACATAAACTAACCCCAAAGCTAGTATTTGGTGAAATCAAAACTCAAATTTAACTTTTCTCTATCCACATCTTATTCTGATTCCACTATACTCTATCACTTTTTTAAGAGCTAAATACTTCCATTTACCATGAGCTCTAACTGAATTGTAAATTAATCTTCTGTTCCTCTGATACAGTGGTTCTCAACCTTCTGGCCCTTTAAATACAGTTCCTCATGTTGTGACCCAACCATAAAATGATTTTCGTTGCTACTTCATCACTGTAATGTTGCTACTGTGATGAATTGTCATGTAAATATCTGATATGCAGGATGGTCTTAGGCGACCCCTGTGAAAGGATCATTCGACCACCAAAGGGGTCGCGACCCACAGGTTGAGAACCGCTGCTCTGGTACGTTAAACTGGGGCCAGCTGGAGGCAGTGATTCCTTTCCCCCTCCCCTCTACTTCCTGTGTCAAACATAGGGTTCTCAGATGTGTTGGGGCTTATTATAAGCCGCTAGAATTTAAAATTCCATAATGCCAACTAAGAACTTCTTTACTAGTAGGAAATACGTCATAGTAAATATGATTGTATAGAAACATGGGAAGTGACTATACAAGGTGGTAGGTTGTGGTAAGGAGGGGCTGTCATGAATTAGTCAAGTTCTTGAAAACCAAGGGCATTTATGAAGAGGAGACCTGATATGTAGAGAAATTCCAAAACTTAGAGAAATTCCAACCTGAGCGTGATTAAGCAGGTAGTTCACAGCTTCTTCAAAGTACTCCAGGTGGAGGGTTTCTATGCTCTTGGGGAGGTCTTCATAGCCATAATAAGCCAGAGCCATCACAGCAAAACCCTTCCCAGCTAGGAGACTAGCTCGATATTCTGGAAGGCCACCTCCAACTCCAAAAATGTCCACAATCCCAGGAAAGGGTCCGGGTTCTTTGAAAGAAACAAAACACAAAACTAAACTATTCTTGAAACACTTTTTTAAAAAAAATTAATTTTAGAGAGACAAGAAGGGAGAGAGGGAGAGAGAGAAATATTTATTGGCTGCCTCTTGCACACCCCCTACAAACCCACAACCTGGACATGTGCTATGACCTGTGATCTGGTGCGTGGAAGGACACTCAACTGAGCCACATCAGCCAGGCTGTTACTGAAACTCTACAGCAGGCATGTCAAACTCAAAGGCTAACACAGGCCAAATAAGGTTAAAGTACGTAGGCCGCAAAAAAACAAAAGCTTCAATTTTCATAGAAATGTAGGTTTATTTCGATAGAGACATGCTGAATACAAAGGGCTGAAATAAATGAGTCATCGTTAAAATAATAGAACATTTTAAGAAAAATTAATATTTTTTCTTGAATATTAACTTACCAGACACTGAATAACTGCACAGATTAATAAGCGTAACACAAATAAACCTATTTTTCTTGTTCTCCGAAAGCGAAATATTATTTCCTGTTGGGCACACCAAACAAGTCAGTCCAAGACTAATGACGTGGCAATCAGCTGCTAAAATATTCACTGCTAGTGTCAGTGGAGAGAAATGGTGCGCCTGCACGTAAGGTGAGTAAGGGAAATGAATGCAACACGATTATAGTAATCAGTCATTAGTGAACATTGCAGTTTATTAATAATTATGTATAAGGATACTGTAAAAATTAAGTTATGAAATTTGTATTAAAACGTTTCTTACATACGGTTATATTGGCTGGGCCGCAAAAATATTCGTTGTGGGCTGCATGTGGCCCGTGGGCCGTGAGTTTGACATGCTTGCTCTACAGTGATGTCAAAAGCCAGTTGTTGCCTACTTGGTAATGTCAAAGTTTTCTTCATAATCAGAAATGCTGAAAGACCCTTGGTCTTTAAAGATCCAGACAATGGCATAGACTAAATCCACATTCCCCTCTATACTCAGAGCCTCAAAGCCCCACAGATTTTTACAAAGATTATGTATTTACTTTGTGGTTAAAAATAATTTACAGACAATGAAAACAGCAAAATCATTGCCATCTCCCCCAAAATTGACAACGCCAAATGCTAGCGAGAGTGCACAGCAATTGGAACCCTCATACATTGCTGGTGAAAATGCAAAATTATACAGCCACTTTGAAAAACAGTTGGGCAGTTTCATATAAAGTTAAACATAAACTTACCATATGATCTAGCAATCTCCTAGGTATATTTGCCAAGGAGAAATGAAAATTTGTGTCCACACAAAAACTTGTATTGCAAGTGTTTGTGGTGACGTTATTCATAATCTTCAAAGATTTGAAACCCAAATGTCCTTCAAGTGGTGAGTGGATAAACAACCATATAATGGAGTACTACTAAAAAACAAGATACATCGAGCAACACAAATGAATCGCAAATGTATTATGCTAGACAAAAGGTTACATACACTGTATGATTCCATTTCCTGGGTACTTTCAACATTTACAGAAAAAGCTTGTATTTAACGTGCAAAACTTAAAGAATAATAATAAAGCAAACACTTTATAGCTACAATTTTAAAAAACTCAGTACTAAGCATCAAAGGCCCCTGAATATCTGTGCTCCTGACCTTCCTTTCCACTGTCTTGGCTTTTATTCTCTTGATTTTCTTTACCATATTACCACTTATGTGTGCGTGTGTTAAACAGTATTTTGTTTATTGTGCCTATTTTTTGAATTTTATCTACATGGAATGAAATTGAATGTATTCTGAAATTTGATTATTTCTTTCAACAGTTTTTGAAGTTCATTCATGTTGACTCTTGTGGCTGTAGTTCAAGCATTTTGCTGCTGTAAACATACCTTAATTTATCATTTTTATTGTTTTTGGACATTTGGAATGTTTGCAGTTGTTTTTGCTCTTACAAACAATACTTCTTGGTGCACATGAACCAGGAGTAGACTGATATAGTCAACTTTCTAAGTAAAAAATTGTTTTCTTGCCCAGCCAGTGTGGCTCAGTGGTTGAGCATTGACCTATGAACCAGGAGGTCATGGTTCAATTCCTGGTCATGGTATATGCCCAGGTTGCAGGCTCAATACCCAGTGTGGGGCGTGCAGGAGGCAGCCAATCAATGATTCTCTCTCATCATTGATGTTTCTATCTCTCCCTTCCTCTCTGAAAGATATATAAAAAATACTGAAAAAAATTATTTCCAGCCCTGGTCAGTGGTTCAGTGGTTAGCGTTGGCTTGTGGACTGAAGGGTCTCAGATTTGAATGCCAGTTAAGGGCACGTTCCTGCAATGCAGGTTCAATCCCTGGCCCTGATTGGGGCATGTATAGAAGGCAGCCAATTGATGTGTCTCGCTCACATGGATGTTTCTCTCTTTCTCTCCCTCCTGATACCTTCCTCCCTTCCACTTGCTTAAAGAAAAAATAAATGGAAAAAATATCCTCAGGTGAAGATTAACAACAACAAAATTTTTTTCCAGGAGTAGATGAATATACCGTATTTGCCGGCGTATAAGACGACTGGGCGTATAAGACGACCCCCTAACATTTCCACTCAAAATACAGAGTTTGTTATATACTCACCGTATAAGACTACCCCCTCTTCCGACACCTTCCAACACACCAAATAAAAGGTAAAACAATATCAGATTTGATTTTAACATTTTAATTTATATTCAAATGCTTATGACATGCAGGAAAACTGTCACAAGGCTGTATGTAATCAAACATATACATAAAACAGTGCAAGTTTATTACCGGTAAACATACCGGTAATTCACTAAAGAAAACACACTCTATAGACTGGTACCGTAGATGCTTCTCAGGAACACAGGCAAGCAGCCCACAACCTAGAGGGACTGTCAATGATAGAAGAAAGAT